GGGACTAAGCGTTCTCTCCCGCAGGCGCTCCCTGTGCAGTGACAACACACCACCTGTCTGGGAGCTGTCTTCATCTCATCAGGGTGGCCATTCCACAGGATTATCCCTTGACCCTGCTGATGCAGCTTCCTGGTGGCTGGGAGGAGCCTGGTAGGGGGAAGGGTAAAGGGGACAGGCCATGCCGCGGGCCAGGGAATTTGTGAGAGTATCACAGCTTTAAATTCCCAGCAGAAATCAGAAAATCTGATCTTGCACATCTAAGAATAGCCGTTGGTTTCAACTGTGAGAGGTGCCAAAGTGAAAGCTATAATTATTAGTAAGTAACAAGCAGAAATTAACCACCTACTACAAAGTCATTTTTAGCTGCCATCCCAACGTGGAAATTGAAAGATGGGCACCAAGAAGCTGCTCGGCTGGGGAGAGGCTTTGGTTCAACTCTGAAGTACTGTTACTGGGTGAACTTCCCATGGTCAATGATAAGATTTGCGTTCTAAAGAAGCTGGCTGGCCCTAGGGAGATGCGTCTCGAGGTATAATAAACATCGAATGCTGTAATTCAGCCTCCTGACTCCTGCCCCACGAAGACTGCAGAGGCACTGACATCTATCTAGCCTGGGCTTCCCGCCTGTAAAATGGAGGAAATAAGCACTCTGACCTTCTTCATGTGATGATGACTATACAAATGGCACCGAAGGACACTTGGCACTTCCAGGAAAGGAGACCATAAAAATGGGCAATTGCTTTCTAAGTAGTATGTGAAGCCTGGATGCCATAAAGAAAAGATTGAAAACTGTATTTAAAAAACAAAAAACAAAAAACAAACTGGCGAAAGACAAAAAACACAAACAAAATTAAAATGAGGGGAAATATTTCTAGCACATATCACAGACCTGAGGCAAATTTCTTTGACACATAAGAAATGCTTAGAAATTGAAAAGAAAAGCTCAGTGTCTAAGCAGATAAATGTGCAGAAGCCACGAACAGACAACTGAAATACTATTTCCACCTATCGGACGGGCGAAGATCCAGAAGCTTCATAACTTGTGTTGGATTTGAGAAAATGAGCATTCGCACATTGTTAATTGGAATGTAAATTGGTATAATTCTGTGAAAGGCAAGCTGACAAAATTTATCAAAATTAAAGAGTATACACCCTTTGATCCATCAATTCCACTTTTAGTAGTTTATCCTATAGATACGGAACTATATATACATACATTATATATATATACAGGTATATATATGTGTGTGTGTGTATATATATATATATATATATATACACACACACACATATATATATAAGGATACCTATTGATGCATTGTCTGTAACAGCAAGATATTAGAAATCTAAGTGTTCATCAAGGGGATACTGATTAAATTATAGTAAATTTGTACAATATATTTATACTAAGCAGCTGTTAAAAAGTGTGCGTCGGCCTCGTATGTGCTGATAAGCGGCGATCCCTGAGTGTAGCATCGCGGGAGGGTATACAGGCTGCTCACGGTGGGTGCCTGTGGATGAGGGTCACTGAGGCTCAGCGGTAGGAAGGAGCGTTTTTATTCTGTCTTTTTGTATCTCTTCAATTGTGTACCAAATGCATGCATTATTTATTCAAAAATAATTTAAATACATTTGTCACATAGGTCCAGACAAACCAAGGAGCAAAACATGCACAACCCACACAGATGGGCCACCAGGTGTTCTGGTGAAGAGTCTGAGACACTGTGGTCAGAGGTGACCAGGAGGTGCTGGGGGAGGAGGGGCCCAGGGCTCAGGTCCCACCATATAAGAAGGGAGGGACCCTGTATGGTCAATCATCCCTGGTCTGCCTTGGTCTTGCTCCCCGCTGGCCCTGGGCCCATCCCCTCGCAGAGCAGGTGGAGATGCAAGTGTCCGATTCACAACCTCTTTGCCATTCAGATAGACATACAAGTGGCCCCGGGACGCTCTCATACAACAGAGTGAAAATCTGAGGTCGTCTCAGAGTGACTTTAGGTGCAAGACTCAAAGCTGGAGCCACCTCCACCATGGGCTTCCATCACGTGCTTCTTCTACACTCAGCTCACCAGAAAAAAACGAGGGAGACCACGAATGCCACAGAAATACCATGGCCTTGGGTATCTGGCCTTGACCTAACTAGTTTCTTCTAAAGCTTGTAGGATTTACAGAATCTGGCACTATTGCTAGAGCTGATGATGGACGCGGATGTAATCTGGTTTCCACAGCTGTCAAAAAATGTGGGTCATTTTTATTTGCCTCTCAGAGCCATAGAGCTCAAACCACATGTGCTAAAACTTTACAGTTCAGTGGAGGCTGTTTTTTGAATTCCTTCTGAATTTACCTCTTCAAAGACTATGTGAACATGTGACACGATTCTAAATCTTGACTCAAAGTCATTGCTTCGAAAGAGTCAACATGACACAAATCTTATAAAGATTCTAATTTACCCCATTCATTCATATTACATATTACTATATGCACATAAACACTATGCATAATCTGCCCAGAGTTTTTAAGGCAGATATGGCATTCAATTTTCATAAGTTCAACTCCGCCAACTTGTAGAATGTAAAAGCCATACCTGTTAATTAGCAATGAGAGCTTTATTCTGTCCTACAGGCTACGGCAATGAGAAATGGATGTTACATGATTATTTATTTAAAAATTCAAGGATAGCTCCAAACTGTTCTCCAACATTTTAATAAGCAGCTATAAAATTTCCTCCCAAGAGCCATGCAGGCCACGCAAAGAAGAACAAAGTCCAGATAACTGAGTGGAGAGGCAGCAAGCCACAAGGAGAAGCGGTCCTGCAACTTAGTGACTCTCATTCAGGTAATTAACTTTTCCAAGAAACAAGCAAGAGAAGCAATGCCTGTGAGGTCAAGGGTGCTAGTTCCAGCCTAGAAGGATCACCTTCAGCCCTTCTGGGTTTTTAGATGTTGGCCCGACAAAAACTTGACTTCACGCCCAATTTGAAAGACAGCCCTGCCCCCACACCGGCCTTGCGAGTTCTGTTAGTCTCTCCTGGCCCGGCACCAACCAGTGTCTTCCTTTCTTTCTGTTTTCTGCAGTCACTGCTCATGAAAGTGCTTAGACTGGGGACTGGGCTTTTCTGTAAGAGAGCTGTGGAGGAAGGCCTTGCTGCTGCTCCCCTGCCCTTAGAGACAGCTCATTGCGGACCCAGTGAGAGGCCCGATGCTGGCGGGCACCTGCGCAGGAAGAATAATCAGCACATTCATGACTCATCCCTCTTTTGTACTTCTGCTTAGAAGAATATAATTTGTTAATTTACAGTAGTTGTTATGGCTCAATTGAAGATGCCAACACAGAACAGGCTAGCTGGGCTTGGCTCTGTGACATGCCAAAACCAGGTAAAGCCAACTGTGTTTTCATACACGAAGATCTGCCAATGGTTCCAAACAAGGTAGAACACCAATTAACCTCGGCTAAAAAGGAGTAATCAGATGGACAATGGTGGATAATAAGTACCTTCTCCAGCCAAATTCAGGCTTTTACCATGTGCCCTGAGAGTCGAGCCTGGGAAGGGCCAGGTACGGTCTTAGAGATCAAGTGATAAAACTTGAGGAACACAAGTCACCTTTTATATAGAAATGTAAATATGTAAGTTTATCGACAGCCATCATTTGCTCAGAGTCTCTCCATAGTGGGATTCTCGCTGCTAAGGTGCCTGCTGGATATATTTTGGGGATTTCCAGCTACACAGAAGCAGCCGCGTGAAACTGGAAAAGGGCAATTATACCTTCTTCCGGGCTAGTTTCCAGTTCCGGCACTGCTGTACCCACCTCCCTCTCAGTGGGTTACCAGGAGTGCCATCAGAGAGGGAAGTGGGGCCATCGAAAACACTGTCCCTGCCCTGGCTTTGATAAAGACATCTGTGTCATGAATACACATGTCCCTTTTCTCAGGGACTCCAAGGCTTCATTGCCAGGATGTGCCAGGCACTGTGCTCATCAGCCCTGGGAGACAAATGCTATTAATCCCGCTGTACAGACGAGGAAACTGAGTCAGTACGGCTGCTACGTGTTAGAGCCGGGACTCCACTCCGGGTCTGCAGGACTTCCAGACTTCCAGCTATGGGATACCATGCTATGCTGTGTCCCGAAAAGAAAGTCTGGGGTGAGGCTCTCTGGCCCCTGCTGCAGTGCAAACCCTGCACCCCACACAGCAAGCTCCCTGCGACCCCTAAGAGTCCATTTCAGAAAATCCTTCCTGGAAGCCTGCTCTGTGCCAGCTCCGGGTCAGGGCACGGAGGCAGGGGAGGAAAGGGCACATGCGGAGTAACTCGTGGTTCCTGGGAAGGAGCACAGTTGTCCCTGACCCATGGTTTCACTTTCCGCGGTTTTAGTTACCCGAGGTCAACCTCAGCCGGAAAATATTAAATGGAAAATTCCAGAAACGAATAATTCATAAGTTTTAAATTGTGATGAAATTTCATACCGTCCAGATCCGTCCCTCTCGGGATGTGACTCGTCCCTTTGTCCAGCGTCTCCATGCTGCATATGCTACCCACCCACCAGTCACTTAGTAGCTGTCTCAGTTATCGGGGTGACTGTCATGGTATCGCAGGGCCTGTGTTCCAGTCACCTTTACTTCACTTGATAATGGCCCCAAAGTGCAAGAGTAGAGATGATGGCAATTTGGATAAGCCAAAGAGAAGCCATAAAGTGCTTCTATTTCATTATTAGTTATTGTTATTAATCTCTTACTGCGCATCATATATAAATTAAACTTTATCATGGCTAAACAATATATAGAGGATTCAGTACTATTTGGGGTTCCAGGCATCTGCTGGGGGTCTTGGAATAACCCCCGTGGATAACAGGGGGCTTCTGCAGTAACGGCTTGGTGTGCGATTGCAAAAGCTTTGATTTCTCCTGACGAGGGGCCGTGGGCCAGAGAGGCGGGTGCCCACAGGATCCTGCAGCCTCCGGTTATGGGCGGAGGTGGGGCGGAGGGCCCAAGTGGGGGCAGAGCAGTACCTGCATGGAGCCAGATCTGTGCCAGCGTCATCCAGGGGTGTAGCGGGCCCTGCTTGGGGGTGCTGCTCTGCAGAGACGAGGCCACTTCCGACAGTGCCTGCTCCACTCTTGAAGCTGCCACCGATGTGGCATGGACAGAGCCTGTGAGAGGTTTGTGGGAAGATGGCATCAGAAGTGAAAGGCAGACCCAGCCAACCAACCACCCCCGCCTCCCACACACAGACAGGACTTCCAGACGCACACACACCCCTTGCCCCACGACGTTTCTAGATTTTATTATCTGTAGAGAAATACTATTATTGCGGCTGAGACTCAGTTTCTGTCCTTTGCTTTAGCTAATCTCTGAGTCAACAACCAGAGCACATGCTATGCTCAACGCCCCCTCTACAAGCTCAGTCTGTGCAGTGTGAGCGTTGGGAGCCGGGAGGGGTAGGGCTAGTACGCAGCTGGGACACACCTGTTAAAATGTGGCATCAGTAAGTCTACAAAGTGAACTTACGAAGCACTCCTGGAAGTGCCTAAACCTAGAAACAATATGGGGTGGAGGAAGGAACCTATAACTTGCCTTCTGAGGTGGTCTTTGCGGGGGAGATGGGGGCCATTTTCAAGACAAACCCAGCAACTTCCCACTTCCTTCCCTGGCTTTTGGTTGGTGGGCGACACCCCTAGATTTAGAACCATATTCTAGAACATGACTTAACTTAGAAAAAAGCTTTTGCCCTATGTATAAGCAGATGTCTACTATTAAGGCTAATACTAGACTAGTAGAGCACAGGTGATGGCAAAGATACCTGTCTCAACTTCCACAAACCCTGTTGTCCCGAAAGGCAAGGAAAGGACCAGACTGAGCACGTTCGCTGCGCAGAGGAATTCGGTAAAAGAACTGCCATTCGGAAGTCACATAAGTCAAATGACTCATTCCTCTTCATGCTGACCTTCTAGGGGTCCTGATGGCTGGAGGCCACCTCTGTAAGCGGGGGCTTGTGCCCATCTCTTTCCAACATTCCCTCCTGGAGGTATGGTTTCAGAACTGAGAGCAGGAGTCTCAGTTATCTCAAATTTAAAACTGTTGATATTTGTATCCACCGGTGATATTCTTAATTTATAATTCATCATGAAGTTCAATACGGAGATACACATTGCAATATCATTAGTGGTGACTATCAACTTCTGAGAAGGTTTAAAACAGGGATAATATATAAAGACGATGCTGACAACTCAAATTGAGTTGGTTATTCTCTGGATAAGACCAAGCTGTGAGCATAAAGATAATTTCTGTGGGTGGGGCTTTGAAGAGTGGGGGTAATTTATTCATTTTAAGAGTATTTGCAGCAATAGACTGGCCATCCGTATTGTATTTTGACTGTTTCAACATGAAAGAAACATGGGTGCCTCTATATACACTCAAATCCTTCGGTGGGGCTGTGGTGCAGGTGAGTTATGGCGGGTGGATGGACATCAGCCCAGGAAACCACCTTCTATGGGTAATCCACACACGACAGCACCCATGAAGACTAGCGATCAGCAGACATTGGTCCCATCCGAATGTCCACGGAGACATTGGGTCCATGCCAAAAAGATTCTTGAAATTTGGAACTCAAGGCTTGTTTTCTCAGGGAGGATGTTTCACACAGGACCAAATACTGAGGACCTTTTGGCATGGGCCAAATGCCTTGGTGGACATTTTGGACAGGACCAAATGTCCTGCAAGGGGACGAGCAAGAGGAGACCGCCCCTGGGAAAGGGCCGCTGGGTCCTCCAGAGTGAGTGCTGCCTGCCACACAGGAAGAAGGACCTGGAGGCCCAAGGAAAAGACATGAATCGATGCCATTCCGATGCGGAACTGACGAAGTTCGGGCAGAAATCGACTTTGCTTAGATAAAGTGTGTCTGACTACGTAAACGTTTTCATTAAACTGCTGTCAATTCAGGGAGGGGGTCATGTTTTGTTTTTAACCTTATTTATGAAAAAATATTTTAACGTTGATAACAAGAACTTGATGTACTTTCCCTGAGAGTTTTAGTAGCAACCGTCAGTTAAATAAACGAGGTTGTTGTTGCTGTATCTTGACATTACCGAGCTGGCTTACTTTCTCATCGACTATCTGGAACAGTGGTTTTCAACCTTGGCTTCACCTCACAATCACTTGGGGTTTAAAAAAAATCGTGATGCCATAGCTGCAGCCCAGACCCACTGAAACACTAGCTCAAGGGGGTGGGGCAGGGCATCGATGTAGTAATCACTTCAGTGATTCTGACGCGCAGGTAAGACTGAGACCCACTGACCTGGAGAGACAGGAAGTGGATGTTACTAACTACCATTCGGTCAAGAGGAGCTTGAAGGCGTATTCTACACATGCCAGCCAGCTTGTGCTTTCATGCTCCCCTGTAGCTCGACAATCTGGGGAACAGTGTGTGTTGAGCTTCTTGGCCTCAGAATCCCTTTTAGACTCTGAAAAGTTATTGAGGCCCTCTATAGAGATTTTGTTTACGTGGGTTATATCTGTTGATATCTACCGTATTAGAAATCAAAACTGAGGCATGTTTAAAATAGTCATTAATTCATTTCAAAATAACAACAACAAACTACTGCTCTAGGAGAATTCTTCAAATTTTCTTCCAGGTCCTATGGTTCCTTTGCTAGAAGGACTGGCGACTTTTGAAGGGGCTAATTTTGCTTTTTGGATTAACTGTTTTGTTTGGTCCACGAATGAACAAATCAGAATTTATGCCAAAGTTCCTCCTCTTCGTGATATCTATATATAACTAAATGAATTAATTCTTCTTACAAAAATATGTTTCATTGTGAATTCTGGCAAATGATGGCGATGATGACAGCAGTGGTGGTTATCGGTTTTAGAGAATGTTCCAAGTTTTGGGCACTGTGATTGGCTATTTACATACATTATCTCATTTAATCTTTAAACAATTCTTTGAGGCAGGTAACAATGCCACCTGCATTATTTAAATGACAGAACTGAGATTCGATGAGGTTATGTCATTTACCCAAAGTCATATAGGCAGCAGGTGGCAAAACCAGGACTCTCATACTAGTCTGACTCTAAATCTAGCCTTTAAATGTAGCTCCGACACCAACTCCTCCAGGAAGGCTGCTGTGAGCCTTCCATTTCTTCTCCCTATCTCTACCCTGTAAAAAGGGAGGCCTTGGGTCCTCGGTTCTCCCGTAACACCCCGTGGGTGTGGTTATCACTGCACGGACCACACCGTTTTATGTTAAAGTTGAGCAGCTAGCTGTCTCTCCTATTAGACTGTGTGTGGCCCTAGGGGACAGGAACCATGCCTTCCATGTAAGTGTTTTCAGGGGCTAACAATGCCAGGTATGCGGTAAATATCTGTGGAATGAACAGCTGAATGAATGAATGAGTGAGTGAGTGAGTGAGTGCTGTCAGGAGACACGTCACTGTAGGAAACTTGGAAGAGAGTGGTCCCCTCATCCAGATGCTCTACTCTCCTTCCCTAATAATGGCTCAGAGGCCACAACCTTCATTGTCTCACGGGGCTTCTCAGTGTGGCTGTCATGACATCCAACAACCTGGGCTAAAAATGGCAGTGGCATGTAGTTATATTAAACACTGCACCTCATTTACTGACTTTCCCCATCTCTAATATAACTAACTTATGTAAATATGAAGCATAACTGAGGTTTATCAGAAATCATCTTTTCCTTCCTATTCAACCTCTTTTAATTCATAGTCTAAACCCAGGATGGATATTAGAGCATTCAGATATGTGTCAATAGCAGCAGGGGGCTAACAATAATGGTAAAAGTATTTAATAGTTAACGTCTACTATTTCTGACAATCACATGAATCAATTCTTCCATTGGATTCAAATTAGGAGGAAAAAAAGGATAAAAATCATCATGAATCAGAATGGCTGCCTGATTAAAAAAAATATAATCGATACAACTTGTATCTTACTGTTTCAGAGGACTGAAATGGTACATATCAAAAGAGATACTGGATTTTTATTTTCACAGGTAAACAACTAGAAACGCTAGTCTAACTAACATTTTTAAAGCAACCTTTTCTTTCTCATCTAAGCAAATGTTTTCCTACAGCGTACGTGGGGTGAAGAGGATTATTACCCTAAGGGACACGGACCAACTGAAGCTTGAAAAAGAAATCAGAGGGAAGACTATAAGACATATTTCTAATTTGAATTCTAAAGCTCCCAAAAAAGCAGCTTCCTAATAATGGGGTTTGACAGGTAAGCCAGGGAACGTGCCCCCACCCCAGCTGCTGGGCATCTCTTATTTATCACATTAATTTGGGAAGCACTTATCACTGTCGTGACGCTGAGAACTGAGCAGCTGCTGTGCGCCTGCAAGTTCCTTCGTCACAGGACACAGTGGCTCCGAAAAGCCACTGGGAAACTAAAGGAACCAAGAGCGGATGCAGGCGGTGAGAGCACACGCTAGAATCTGGCCTGAGTCTGTGACCTCACTGCCCGCACAGCCCAGGGGGCACACGGGGTCCTGGGGCTGAGGAGATCCGTATGTCCCTAAGCCAGCTGCTTTTTCTTCCCTCCCACAGATGCCCAAGAGGAAATGTCATCTCGGACACCTGATACAAAGGCAAAATGCCACTTGAAGAATCATTCTCATCCCTACATCTAGGGTTTTCATCTGGGCGTCCCCTTGGGCTACTATGTGTATGGGCTTGGGGTGGGGTGGGGAGGGGAAGGCAAGGCCAAGACCAGAAACTACTGTAAAGAGCCTGTTCTCCATATGCCAAGAGGACCAGGAACTAAGCCACGGACCTCAGGAAGCCGTGAGTCAAGCTCTGGACCCCTCCCAAGGTTTTCTGACCCATGTTCCTATCATATGCCGAAGCCTGTTGAGCAACCCTGTCACAAGTAGGACACCGGGAACAGCCAGCTCAAATGGCCTTTGCAGTTGCAGCCTTTACAAAAATCCTTTCTCCGAAGCACACTACACCTGTGCTTCATCTCACACAGACCTCAAATGTGGCAATCACATACGAACCATATTTCACCCTTTGAAGTTCATCATTCGGAGAGATCTCAGAGCTAAGAATTTTGAGCCGAAGGCATAATAAATTACATAGCTCGGTTAAGTTTGACAACCCTGAATTTTCACAAGCAGGGTCACTGAAAGCATGACACGTAGGGATATTCGCGATGTCCTTTGGACTGTTCGGGTGGCATTAAGTAAGCAGCTGTATTCTGAAAGATGTCCACCTTCCCTCTCCCCCTTATATTTCACAGCACGTGGAAGCTAGATCTCAGATGAAACTAGATCTCAGATGAAACCCTGCCTGCCTAGTGACTTGGCAAGCATCACAGTCCAAGAACAAGGGACGACTGTTACATTCTGTGCAGGGAAAAAACCCTCCGTCAGAGACATCGGTAGACATCTCTCACGTGTGTGCTCAGGATTCCGGCTGTTCTTTGCTTCTGTGCCCCAGAATTAACTTGGGAGTTTTGAGTGTGTAAATATGGGACAATGATGGAGCATGTGGCCCCACCCCAAGTCCCACCTCCCTGGTCCTCACCCACATTCTCTCGGCCTCATGTCGCAGGAGCAGGAACCTGCCCTCCTGGGTATTTTCCTGACAAGAAACAGAGCTGCTGTGGCCCCGGGAACATGGACTCATTCCAGCAAGTGAATTTCTGTACTTTATTTCCCTCGGTCGTTATCTGTCAATTGAATTTATTCAGCTTCCAGTTCTTAGAAGCTGTGCCCCTAAAACCACTCACATAAGAAGGAAAACAAAACAAAATAAAACCCAAACCAAAACAAAAACAAAAAATCGCGCAGCTCCACCTCTCTGAGACCCTGAATGCTAAACGGCAACCTGAATGACTAAGCATGCTGCCAGAGAGCTGTGCTTAAACGTTTTCATTTTTAGCAGGCAAAGAATTCCTGTTTCTCCAGAGAGGGCTTGGAAGGAAATCTGTCCCATACTGCAGACTGCTGGCAGCCCAGTGACCTTCTCATACCTGCCACCTGTGCGTTAAGGACCAGGATGTCCTCGGGGCTGACGGAGGTGGTGACTGAGTAGTAGCGAATGGCTATCTTTCATTTTCTTAAAGGGGGAGGAGAGATATAGGGGTCCACTCTCACTTTAACCCTCAAATTAGACATATTTTCTCTGCACCATTTTTTTTTTAACGTTAACCATTTTAGTCTGTCCCTATCCCCCGCCAATGTTGGGACAATTCTCATCTTTGCTGGAAGTCACCCTGGTTTTCTGAAGAAGCTGACTTGGGGTGGTGGGCTCTACAAACTGCAGTGAGGTCTTCCTGCCACATTTCTAATTCCGTGAGAGCTGCCACCTCCTCTCCTTGTAGCGCGCCCACCAAGTGACGGGGACCCGGGGACCGGCAGCTGCCTGATTCTACCCAACTCCCACTGACAGTGAGGCCTCCTGCTTGAGGGTTCCTCTGAGTGATCACCTTGCTCACCGTTCTAGTGGACGCTTTCTCTTTTCACTGAGTGGAAAAGAGATTAAGACAGCCAAGTAGATCAGGACGGCCAAACCCACAGTCCCCAGACGAGATCACATTTTCCAAATGACTTTAACAGAATATCGAGCACGGTTTAAACCTGACAGGATGTGTCTTCTGAAAAGGGAAGGTTCTTTCCAGGGACAGCTTTAGGGAAGGATCGCACTAAGGCAGGAAGAGGCTAGGATGTGTGGTCACCGGCGGGCATGCGGGGGGCGGCCCAGCAGGCTGCTGGCGGGTGTTGGCAGGGCCAGGCGGGCACACGAAGCGTGGAGGGAAGCCGTTTACATGCATGCAGGAAGGTGCCAGCTGTCAGCGAGACGCACTCTGGCTCTGGACTGGAGACAGTACCTTCTGGAGGACCACACTGGGCAGATGCTCCCATCTCTACCCTAACCCTCCCGGCTGCAAGTGCGTGAGGCTGTGCCTCTGGACTGAGGTGCCTGGGGAAGGCTGCGTGTGTCTTTGGATGTACGGGAATGGCCTCCCAGGCTTGGGTGGGAATCTGATTACTGGACACACACTCTTCGACTTCTATCAGAGCCACTTATTATTGACTTGTCAATCTCCTAAAATTCCATTCGATCTTGTTTAAAGAAAGATACCACAGAACTAATTAAGGAGACTTTAATTTTAATTAAAATACCAAGAAAGGGTGTATATTTGAATCATTAGGGCTGAATTTTTTAAATTACCACTCTTCAAATGCAGTAGGGTGATCAATACAGTTACTTTTTCATAGATAGATACAAAAAATACTTTACTCGGTTAAGTGGGAGCAGAGGGTGAAACAGACCACCCGACTCGTCACATCCTGATCGTGATATACATTTTTGAATGTTAGAAAATGCAAAGTCAATAATAAAATGCTAGCCATAATGCAAAGAGAAAAACTTGAATTTATTTGGCTACTTTCAATTGATTTCTCAACTTTATTTCATTGGAGAGGGGTGCTTTTTCATTAACCTGTTTATTCTCTTCTCCAGGTTACGTGTTCCTAAAGAGAGCAGAATTTTCACTAGAATAAGTGATATGAAAAACGGAGCCAAGAACCCAAGTCGGCGTTCTTGGTTTTAGCATATTCTTAGAGAGGAGAATAAAACGTCAACACACACCTTTCTCCAAAATGATGACTGGTAGAGCACTCAAGAATGGGGGCACCGGGGGGTCCTCAATTCTGAGGAGGGGCAGATGAATGTGGCTTTTCCCACATGGCAGGTTACTTCTGGGAGCCACTGCTGCCTGGGGGGAGAAGGGTATCTGACTGAGGCTTGACATCAGGGTCAGCTATTGGCAAACCATAAAGAAGGCACATGTGGACAGAAGAATTAGTAAGCTGACGTCTTTACAAAAGAGGAAACTAAACTCCCAGGGAGATTAAATGAGTTGCCCAGTTCCTCTGCAGAAGTGGCCCTTGAGCTCAGGCTTCCTGACCTTTGAGAGGGTTGGAGCTATTTCTATGGAAAATAGAAAATACAAGTCCCTTGTATAAATATTTCAAGCCTCAAAATAAATAAATAAACAAACAAACAAAGCTGCACTAATTAGGGCTGCTTGAAGATTTAATGTGACCTGACTTTCTGAAAATCAAATCTTTTTAATGTATCCTTCCTTTTTTTCTTCTTGAAGAACCTTAATGTGAGAATAGTACCAAACATACCTCTTTTCTGTTACGGACTTTTGAAAGACAAAATAAAGTCGCATCTAAGCTGAGCTCAATTTCAGAAGGGAAATCAACTCCCTAAGGGGTATATTTGTCATAAGCAGTGAAGGCTCAGATCTCAAGTGCACTGGCTCACCATATACATTGGCATTTCCCAAGATGTAGTTCCTCAAATAGTGATTCCGCAGGGTGGAAAAAATGACGAAATCAGCTTGGGAACACTGGGTCAAAGTTAAGAGAGTCTTGCATTTTTTAAATTGCAGGACTTCTCAGAGCCTTAATGTGCTAATGTGAACTGTGAGTCTCTAAGAGAAAGATGCAAGAGATGCACTATTTCCCCAAAATATATGACCAGGGGGAATCAGCGGTCTAAGAATCCTTTGGAAAATATCATAATTCACTAATGCCTTCAAAGAACACTACCTAAAACACTAGGCCTACGCCCAGGTAATTGCTTTGTCTCCTTTAAATTTTGGTAGATGTAGTATAAGTTTTATGATGTCCGTTTAGTTTATTTTACGAAAATTAATTATTAGAATTGCTTTTCTATGTAGCAATAATGGTTGAATTGAAAAGGAATTTCAAGATTCAACTGGTTCCCTTCACCCACGATTTACAGACAATAGGCACCGGGGAGGCTGGGGGTCTCACACTTTTGATCAGCACCAGTGGCACTGCTGACCCATCCCCTGCTGACTCATCCATTTTTCCTGCAACGTCTTCCCAGACAAGTACTGCCTCCTCAGCATTTACACCCAAGCTGAAGCGGAAGGATTAGAACCTCAGGAGAGATGAGCCCCAGGTGGCAGAGTGGGCAAGCAGGGGGCAGCTTAATGTCCACGCCATCTCAACATTCCCCACAATCAACAACCACAACACACGCTCCGTGGTGGGGGGAAGCGTGATTCTGGAGACCCTCAGGAAGGTTAACAGATAGATTGGTAAGCTACTTACTAACTGAAAAAAGGGAGGGAAAACCATGAAAGTATACTTCTGGAGAGTTGCCTTGGAACAACAAATCAAACCAAAAATTAAAACCAAGAATTAAAACGAAACATTTGAAAAATCAAAATTAAGTCTAAAAAAGCAAATAGAGTTCTAATAACCTTCCAACCGTAAGTCTGGCTGTCTGGAATCAGATTTCAATTCAAGAGTGACACATATTTTTCCACTAACAATGATTTTTTTTTTTAAACCAAAAAAGGGCCAACTGGGCATTCCCCTCTACATTTAAATGCTCACCCAGCACATGAAAGCTGACCGATTCAAGTAATATGTTTTGTTTCCAGGGCAGGAAATTCCAAAGGGAAGGGAAAAATAATCAAACAAGAGGTTTTTAGATCTTTCCACATATTAACCCTGATTATGATTCCAACGGTTTGGGTTGGGCTAGCATTCATTTCTATGAAGTCAAAAGATCGGAGGGAGAAATTCATAAAAACTTCAGGTCTTGGCTATCTGCCTTAATGGAAAGAGTTGGGATTCAAATTCATAACAATTTTCATCAGGAAAGTCCACACTTATCAATAACGCATCGTGTATTTTCTCCTTCTCTAACTAAATGTATCTACAGGGGGGAAAAAGACTCATGGACGCGTCAGTCTTAGTCAAAACACTTGGTTACGGGCTAGGTGTTCCCTAAGGATGGGAAGATGACTTATAGCTTCACAAAAAATAAACAGTTATGCACTGCTTGGGACACAGTACATTCAGCAGAAAGCCCAGTGGGTGCTTATCACCCCCAACAATTCACTAATTAATCTGAGGTAAAGTGCCTCACCGGATGAGTCACAACTTCGATCTTAATGGTTTAAAGGAACACAGGGTCCTTGGGATGCAGGGCGATAAACGCCAGCACGGGGTGGGGTCAGCGGGCTGGCTGTGCAAACAAGAAGGGATTGGGCAGTGGGAACATATGAAGTTCTACTGGAACAGTACGATCCCGTTTTATGACAATAAAACTGGGCAAAAGTCAATGTAAAAAACAATTTTTTTTTCCCCTGGAAAAACTGAAGTTGGCAATTGCCCCTAGGTGTTGTTTTAAGGGAAAATGTCTATTTTTAGACACGGATTAAAAAAACAACAGAAGCAGTTTATGAGCATTATCTTCATCTTCCATTTCATAAAACTGGGATTTCCATGAAAGCAAGGGTCAGAACACTTAGCATGCGGATAAGTAAAGTCAGAGCGTTCCTGGGGTTGGATGATTTATTTTAGGTTGATATCCTCATTTCTGCTTGGATTCGTGTGTGTGTGTGTTTGTGTGTGTCTGTATGTCTGTCTGTCTGTCTGTAAACGTAACACAGCAGGTCAGCTTTCCAAAAAGATGAGCACTTTAGAGAAAGCAGTCCTTTCTGGCAGAAGTTTCCCATCGCGAGCTTTCGTTTGGCGTATAACAGCGCATTTGGAACAGAGATGAGCCCCTTGTAAATCACAAATGTAGAGATTAAAATTTCTGGCAGTGCTGCCGGGAAAGTGAACATTAAATAAATGAGTGGAAGAAAACAAGGGTGGACTCTCCTGCTGAGATCCATATTTAGGTCCCATTTTAATACAGGAATATTTTTTTCATTGACATGTTCCTGAACAGCCTAAAACAGACTTTCAAATTTCTCCATTATTTAAAAGCAAGATTAGATTAAAATACTGCTCAATTTTTTCTGCAGAGTTTCATGACACAAACCCTACATTTTCCTTCCTTGCAAATGGAAAATAATTTCTAATATTGTTTTTCTAAATGTAGTGCATAACCCCCTGGCACTGGAATCATAACAGGGCATTATATAAAAGCAGATTCCTGAGCCCTACCTCAGGCCTACTGAATTATAAACTCTGGGGTGGGGCCCAGGAGATCTGCAGTTTTTACAGTTCTCTGTGCGATTTTAGCGTAAAGTTTGAGAACCACATAGTTCAAAGGCATATGACCATTATCTTTAGAATATTACCTTGATTACCATACGCTTGTTGAATTAATTTCTAAATTGAAAAACAGAAATATTTAGGAATAAATTATTATTTGCCAATTGTTCTAATTTGCCTTTAAAAAAAATTTTTTTTTTCTATGTATTTACATCAACTCCGGGAAGACACAGAAGTACCCGAGAACTAGAATCAGTATTCTGGAAAAGCTTCTATTTATTTCCTTTACTTTTCAAAGAGAAGGCGGGAGCTTGGGTACCAACCAAAACCTCCTCCTGCCCCCAATGAGTTTTGGATTTTCAAATTAGCAAGATTGTCTCTCAGCTAAATTTGATGGAGTTTCCTATCCAGCTTATCAGTTAGGAAGATTATCAGAAAATGAAACATCAGACAAATGAGACGGATTTAACGAGAAAGGAAAAACCATAAACCATGTTTACACAGAGAGGGTTCCTGCCGGGGACCTGGGTCACTGAATGAACGAGCTGCTGGGGGCCACACAAAGGTATCGGGTTTGGGATGAGAATGAAGATGAGAAGATACAAACAGGTGGAGAGGAGATTCGGTTCTTGAAAGAGAAGAGGAGGAGGAGGAATCTGACACTAAAAAAGTGAAAGAGAAAAAAAAAAAAACAAGGATAAAAGCAAAAAAACTTTAGAAACAAAGAAAACGTAAAGTAGCTTTTAATATACTCACATAAGCTGCAAAGAAAATGAGGTCATATGATACACAATCAGTCCTCTACTTGATAATAGAACACAAGTATTTTGCAAAGAAAACCAATTTGTTGTTTTTCTACTGGTTATTTTAATTGTTCTGCACCAACACCATGGAATAAAAATAACTCGGGTTTACCTGGGCACAGATTCAGCAGCGCGAGCCACTGAAAATAACACACCTTTAACCTACAACATCCAGGACATTCTGGAGGAAACTATTTGCTTTTCAATCGGAAACGGGCAGAGCTCGACTTTTCTTAGATTTGCTTTTAGTGGGAAGCGCTCACGTAAAGTTTCTTTGAAAACTGAGGTTTTCCTAGGCTCGGATACTGAGACGCAAAGACTTCGTCATGGTCCCGCCTCCTGATGATGGAGTGCTAGGCTTTCTGATCTGGTCTACAGTCGGGTGGACTGGCCGGGCACTTGAAAAGGAAGCTATGCCTGCCGCCTTCATGTCTTACAGCTGGAGGGATACGCAGCAATGGGGAGACCACCACAGCGACAATTCAACATTTTCCCAGACAAAATGGACCGAACTTTCAAGTTTAAAGAATTATTTTGCTTTGGATAGGTGTCTGGTTAATATCTATCAATGATTAAAGATAAAGCCCCATACTCCGCATCCTGCTTTGGAGGCCAAAGGAAGAAAAAGCATTTTTTTTTTTCATATTCCATTAAAGGAACTACCAACTTATTTAAGAAAAAAAAAAAAAGACAATGATTCATAGCTTCGAAGTTACAACTGTTACTCCATGTGACTCCTCTTTTCCGATGGCTGAGACCATTAGATGATAGAGGTGGGGAGGAGACAGAGATGCCATTAGAAGGGAAATCGTGTTCTTTAAGAGGAGTTTTTTCAGTTTGCTACATCCAGTTAGTAAAACCAATGTCCTTTCTCTTAGCCACAGTGCACCTGGCCCATCCAAAGCTTCTGGACATGGGTTTCCCTTATGTTATTCCACAGATCTGCACATGGGCAATTTCGGAGGTGGAAAACCATATTCTAGTTAATTAATCACTTCCCAAATCAAAAAAACCGATCCTGGACTTTATAATGACCTGGATGTATAATAATGGTAGTGTGGTTATACATTTTTAAAGTTCTTATCTGTTTGACATATACACTAAAGTTTTGACAGGTGAAATATGGTGTCTGGGATTTGCTTTAAAACACTCCACAAAAACTAAGTGCGGGGCAAGAGAGATGGATGACAAGAGTATTAGTTGCCGAAGGCTGGCAGTAGGTACGTGGGGATTCATTATGTTAGTATCTCTATTTTGGTATATTTGCAATTTGTCCACAATAGAAATTTAAAAACTAGGAAAAAATTTTTAGTTCTGGAACATAAAGTGATCCAAGAGGGCCTGTGGCTTCACAAAGGGGTCAAAGCGGCTGCTTCAGAATCGGATCACAACAGCGGAAGGTCCCCATGGCTTTGGCCACACGTCCTTGCTGAGGCCGACGCCCGTGCCCTTTAAATTGGGGAATCTGGAAAAGTGGCGAAGTGCGTCATGGGCCAACACTGTTAGCGAGCTGTCGCCTGCCAGTACGGGGGCCTCTCTGCCACAGCTGACCCCGGAGTCATTTCTGTTTTGATTTGGGACCGTTTTTTCTTTTCTTTTCTTTTTTTTTTTTTTTAAACCTCAGATAAATTCCTTTTCTCTTTTTCTCGATAGCCCAGTTGTTTTCCTAAATGAGCAGTGCTGCGGTGGACATTCAGAACGAGCCAGCCCCCGGCAGCACCACGTGCCCTGACGACAGAGACAAAGAGAAGGAAAATGGCTGGGATCGAGCTGGATGGATGAGTCTGGAACGTGAAATCTGGGCGTCGTGGGATACGACGTTGCCGTGGAGAAGAATGAGGACCACCTCTGCGGATGGCTGTGGGGGGGGTCCTCAGGATGTGTTGGGGAGCGAAAAATGCCAGGTGCTGAACAGCACATGTACTATGTTATTTTATTTTATTTTATTTTTTTATGTAAGGGGACATGGGAAATAATATCTACGCTTACTCACATGAAAAAACCCTAGAGGGGTCGATAAAAACGGTTACCTTTAGGGCAAGACAAGATGGAGGCGGAGATGGAAGCACATCTTCCCTGTGGAACCTGCCGAGTTAGAGTTAACAAAGCCTGCGGGGTCCTTCACCAGACAGGCCGTCCAGGCAGACGGATAAGGACGAGCGGCCCTCCTGTGCTGCCCGCCAAGCGGAGTTTATAATATTTATTGGGTTTCAGTGATCAAGATGGAGGCATCTTTTCCATTTTTAGGCAAGCCTTTCTAATTTGTTGGTCTCCTCGATTTAAATTATTATTTTCAGAATGTGCTACTCTCATTTACAACTAGTCCGTGATGGACAAGGCCTCCATTTTTCTGATTCCCTGGCCTCCTGTGTAAGTCACTGGTGGTGTGTAAACTAGCAATGTGGGGCTCTGGGGGGCAGGGCTGGTGAAAGGAGTCTTGGAGGGCTTCCTGTGGATGGCACAACAACAACAACGAACAACAAAATAGTCACTGGCCTGGGCCCAGGGCACCTGCTCTCTCAATCTTCTCCAACCCCCTGGGCTCCCCGAGAGGGCGGAGCATAAACACCACAAAAGACAGGGGAGGGGCAGGGACCCCCACCTGTGACACACTGATATGCCTCACCTGGACACTATGGCATCTGAGAAAGCTTCACCTGAAGAGGGAGACCCCCGAGGGCTCTAGAAAAAACGGCCCAAGGGGCAGAGGGGAGAATGGGTGACAAGGGCCGCATTTACTTTCTGCCACTCTCTGTATTAAAAGGGATGTGGCATCAGAGTCTCGGGGAAATGAGGGTCCGAGCCAGAGGAGGAAGACAGCCCTGGGCAGCCGCAGTGCTGAATGAGCTTCACCTGCTTCTCTTCTCTCCAGTGTCCAAGCCTCACCTTGCAGAGGTTGGTCCCGACAGCCTACCTTCCCTTTCCAGCAACGGGGAGGCTTAGACAGTGTCTCCAACGGGACTGGACCCACGAGCAGAGCTGTGCTGTGCTATTCCAAGTCAGAGCGTCTGCCTGGCTCGCAGTCTAAGCCCGAGGCCTGCTGATCGACCCAGGGCTCAGGCCATTGCAGGGGGAGAGCTTCTCTGTGGCTTAGCCAGCCTGCATTTTGAGCAGTGGCTGCCAGCCACTCTAAACTGCCCTAATTTGCAATGCGTGCTGCTCCTCATGCCTAGTGTTCTTTTGACCTTGGAGTCCCATTGCCCTGGGATTAGACTTCTCAAGCCTACTTTAAAATTGATGATAGGGAGCCTAGCACAAGGATGCAGTCTGCAGGCAGCTGTGAAGATGGGCTTGAGTGTCACACCTGGCTCTCAGAGGGACATCTATCTATCTATCCCTCCCATTCCAGCTGAGGTGAGATTTTCCAGGAGAGGGCTGTGCATGCCTCAGGGCTGCTCTCTAGTTTCCTTTGGAAGGTCTTGGTCAAGGGCTGGGACCTGGCCCAGGGTTAGAAGAACCTGGAGGCCCCTTTCACGAAGCCAGTCCATAAAGGACCAGGCATACCCAGAGAGGGATTAAGCCTCACACGGGCCCTTGCGGGAAAGCGGGAGAAGCAACAGAGCCAGGTTCCAGATGAGGCGCTGGAACTACCTTTGAGGCTCACACCAAAATGAATTTCTTAATATTTTGTGGGTCTGTAGAGTCCTCCAAAGTGTCACTGAATAGTCGGTATTGCTATGATCATTACTTGCTTGGGGTGTTGGAAATTACAAAGGAATATTTACTCCTCTGTACTTAGGCAAACACGAAAACATGAATAAAGAGGTGTAAATGTTTGCTCAGAGGCAACGCTCCAGGCCTCCCGGTGGGACCCGTGGAGTCAGAAGGTCAGAACCCACCTGCCTCCCTACAGGGTCTTTTGCTGGGTGTCTGTGTGTTCACATGTGCAACGGATTGGAAAGCAAACCTCGATTTCGGCGAGGCCCGAAATCTAAATCGAGAGAGAAACAGAAACGCAGAGGGGAAGCTTGACAGAGATGGGAACAATCTAATTTCAGTTTCAAATTTTTAGGTTCCAAGAGCAAGGGGAAAGAGAGAAAGATCTGAAAGAGTTGTATTGGGGAAGCAATATCACTGCCCTCGCCGTGAACATCCACTTGAAAAAGACACCAGAAAAAATAGCACCTCAATTGAGAGTTTAAAACCGATTGGTACGAGAATTTTCCCGCCCCCGTCCCTGGCTGTCTTCGCCCCATGTCGCTTGGGGCCAGGCCCCATATCCATCCCCTCTGGCTCTTTATTCTCACCTGTCTCGGGATCGCTGAAGTCTGGCAAAGTAATTGTATTAAGCTGTCGTCTGTCAGCAATGGTTCTATCTAAGAGGCTGCTCCCACGTCCAGAATCACTGCAAAACACAGCTACAAATGTCAGTCATTTGGAGGGTGGGCGAGGAGGAAAAAGCATCAACCAATACCGACTCCTGATGTGCGTTTTTGATGTTCTTCCGCACCTTTCCATGTATCACAAGGCATCCTGCTTCCTGGCTCGGCCTGAGCTGGGATTCCTTTCAGCATTCAATACCACAAACGCGGCTTAAACCACACCCACAGACCCCTGCTGGTGCTCGCCTCTTTTGTGTCATTATGAGATACTGAAATGGGAAAACTACAAGCCGGTTCTCCATCCACCTTACAGGGGCAACTGGCATTCTGCGCTGTGAAGTCTCAGAGCTCACCGAGCCCATACACACCCTCCCTGAGCTGTCTTTGCGAATCCAGTACACGGGACACCAGCGCCTCTCAGCCCTCGCTGCACAGGAAAATCACCGGGGCCTGTCTAAAAAACACCGCGGCCCAGGTCCCACGGCAAAACAAAAACACCAGGAGTTCTGGGGCGGTTGACGTTTTTCAAAGTTCCCCAGATGGTGCTAATGTGCGGCTGGATTCGAGAACCAATTCCCCGCCCCACCCCCTCCGCTTTTCAAAGGGCGATCGCGGCCATGGCCCCGCGTGTGTCCCAGAACAAGCCTCTCAGATAAATCGTGTGGTCGAGACTCCCATTCACCAGATAAGGAAAAGGAGGTGTGAGGTCACCGAATGGGCTGGTTGCTGGCAGAGCGGGAGCTGCGGCCCCCATCCAGGGTTCCTGTTCCTAAGCTGGAGAGAAGTCAGCAGGGCTGTGGCGCCAGCCCCCAAGGCGGGTACCCCCACCCGCTTCTGCTCCCCGCACCGGACCCCTCTCCAGCTGCTCCTACATCACTGACCACATTAGCACATCAGGCCCAGCTGGAATGAAGTACAGTTAAGGGATCTTAGCTCACACAGGCTGTTTTGTTTTCTTTGAATTCTAAGACACTTGTAAGAAAAAATAATTGCATCCTTTCTTTTCCCTCTATCGTGATATTCCTTCGAAAAAGCTCCAGAAGGAGGCGTATCTGTCTCTCAAGGTTTGAGTCTTTCATGTTTTTCTTTGAATCTATTTTTTTTTTTTTCAGTCTGGGGGCTCTAAGAGTGATATTTGTTGTTAAGTTCAAATTCTACAGTAAAGGGACACAATTTCCTTCCTCTATGCAGCTGTTGCTCAATGTGATACAAATGAGATTTGCTATGAAACTTAATATGGTTTGCAGGCTGCAATTTCCACGTTCAGTGATGGAGCTAGAGAAATCCACAGGAAACAGAAGGAAACTTGCTTCAGTACAGACTACTTGTCAGCCTATACTTATTACATCATTAAGTACGTTTTGGGAAACGGTTCTATTAATTATTTCTGCAACTGAAAAATAAATGTCTCTGAGCAGAAGGCGGAATCAAAGTACATGCAAATTTTCATTAATTACATTATTAACTACATATTTCTCGCATTTGGTCTGTTCATGTATGTGTTTTTTAATATAAACATCACCGAAACTATTACAAAAAAAAAACGAATGTTGCAACAGCTCCCCACTTAGAAGTTTTCAGAAGACATTATATCAAAATAGAGTGACATTTTTCATCACCTTGGGCGTTTCGGGACACGCCGCCAGGTGCTGGCGTTGCAAAGGAAGGATGTGCCTGGCTTTTCGGTGGACCAGATCTAAGGACGTGGATCAGAAATGTTTGTCTCAGCCATCAATCATCCTGCAGGCTTCCCACCTCACCAAGTTTCAGAGCACAGGGTTGGCTGCCATGTACGATGCTGGGTCTTGGAATGCAGCCAGGGGTCTGGGTTCTTATCCTACATCTGTTCCTAGGACACTTTCTCCATGCCTCAGTGAGTTCCCTGTCAGATGAGGATAAGGATTATCTTCCTACATAGAACTGTGTAAGGCTGAAATGAAGTCATGTGGGTAGCAGGTTTAGACAGGTTATAACTTCTAGGCACACACCTGGTGTCATTATAAACACATCTACAGACATGCATCTGAGGTTCATGTGGCTGGCTGATTTCTGAAGACAACTTATTCCCAGGCTTCTGGTGCAACGGTAGGTGTGGGGGAACCGAGTTAAGCGCCTCCTCCAATTGAAACCCAAATCTTAGCTTGTAAACTTCACCCACTGGTAATGACACCGCGTCTATTTCCCCTCGACCATCTGAGAAACTATATTCAGTTGCATTCCTTAATTTATTTTCTGTAGTTCCTCCTGGAAACAGCATACACACATAACTATTCAAAATGGAGATGCTTTTGTTTCCACTCTGAATGGTGCTGCTGTTGGAGAATTTTGCTGGATGCTTTAAGCAATTGTTAGTGCTTCGTGTATCGGTTGTGGAGTTTTAACCAATCAAGATGTGCCTTTGCTATGACCCGCAGAATGTGGAAGGAGGGGCCAGCCTTGAGTCTCCTAACTCTCTCACTCTGGCCAGTCTCTTCCACGAAAGCATAAAAGTTGCCTTTCTCTCTCTCCCTGGGACACCGTCTGCTTGGGCACCCCCTGCGGACCTCCTACTGCCCACCCCCCCCAAACCCCAGTCATCTCACCTCTTCTCTGCCCAGCCCTTGGGCCGCTAGGAGCACCTGCCTAAGGAGGATGGTGGGAAGGGAAGGGAAACCACTCCTGATCGGTGGTGCTAATAGAGAGTTTAGGGAGAGAAAACTAGAAGGAACCCCAAATCCACAGCGCAGAAGGTGAAGATATCGACATATGTAGATACACACGCCAGGTAATTTCTCTTCCCCATTAGGCCTGATAATTCCAAGTAAATTGTAGTGATGGTTAAAGTAATAGCGGAAATTGGAAGCTTCTCTTGGAAATCCTCCGTCTTCCGCAGCCACATGGAGGTGGACTAGGGGTGGTGGTGGATCCGACTAGGGGTCAGAACGCTGAAGCTCCTGTTGTAGCTTTGCCCCTTCCCAGCTCCTGAAACAGTGCCCGGCACACGATAAACACCGGGGGTAAGAGGGGGCTTCGAAAAGGAAACCAGAGCGGGGCAGGTGGGCGAGGCAACACCTGTTTTGCTCCAGGATTCGTAAGGCTGGATTATGAGAGTCAAGGCAGTTGCCCAACATCCCTGAACCACGACCTTCTCATCAGTAAAATGGTTATAATATATCATGACCTTTGCCTGTTTCATGGGGCCACTTTGAAGATGAAGTCAGACCATGGTTCTGACTATTAATATGAAATGGGGTCTCCAACTTCAAACTGAGGTTAGAGCAAAGCAATCTTTAAATTAAAAACAAACAGACAAAAAAACTTTGCATGCTATTCATTAGTAAGTGATTGAAATCAGAATTAGGAAGAAAGCATTTTCTTCCAATCCCATGGCTACGTGATGGAGATGGTCCAAGTGGCAGTGATGAGAAGGGGGAAAGAAGTAGTTAACAATAATAAATAAAAATAAAAGAAGTTGGTTGTCAGCTCAGAGGCAGCATGTATGGTGGAGGGAGATTTAATGCTAGACAGACCTGGGTTCAAATCACAGCTGTACTATTTAATTGAGAAAACTTGGGCAAATTATTTAGCCTTGTTTAGCTTCAATCTTAGTCTCTATGAAAAGGAAAGGACAGTAGCTACCCTGCAAGGCTACTGCAGACGCTGAGGATCACATAGAAAACGGCCTAGCACGGCGCTGGCAGAGCAGGGTACCACCGTCCCTAACTGAGATTCCGGGAGGCCGCTGGGACCTTCTGGTGAGGCTCTGGTCAGAAGTCACACTGGCCAAGTCAAAATGCAGAAGGACTGAGGGGGCCTTATACACCACTGAGAGAGAAGATAAAACAGGAGACAGATTTCTAACCAGTGCAAGCAAAACTGCAGACCTAGGGAAATAAATCCAGGCTTCTGCAATGACAGAATGTACTCTTGTCAAATGTACGCTCGGGAGAATGGCACCCTCCATTTTCCTCACAGCAAGAGATGGACTCTCAGACCGCAGGTGGGATGCTCTTTGCCAGCTGTCTAAGGCTTGGTTCAGCGACCAGCCCATAGTGATCCTCCTTCAAGTAAAAACAAATAGGAGGATCGAGGAGCAGAGAACATGAGCTGCGTCTACTCTCAGTCTGGCCCCGCTACTGCCGATGTCATCCTCTGTGCCTCATCGTCACACCGCTCTGGAGGCCTGTGCCAGCCTCACAATGGAGTTGGGAGAGGGTGGGGAGCCATGGGCGCCCCCACAACTGATCAGGCTCAGAAACGAGGGCGCCCTGAGCCGGGCAGTCAGAATGGACCTTCTCCAGTTAGAAACCAACTGTCTCCTGCCAAGATGCTTTCTGCTAATTTTTTTTTTCTTTTTTTTAAAGCAGGGATGCTTCTCACACACTTGTTCATGAGATTCTACTCTTTTCTAAAAGCCGGTGTGACCTGATCGTAGACTCAAGCTGAGGGACCCAGAGCTGCCCTTATCTGGAGGACTGCGAAGCGTGCTGTCCCTCGTTAAGAAACAGCCCTCCCCTCTTGATGCTTTATTCTATTGCCAGGGCCACATCTTCCTGACCATACTGGGGAACATGCCTAAATTTGCATAATGCTAAGGGCTACAGGATAAATATTTAATTATATCTCAGAAAAAATGAAGTTAAAATAACAAATGGGAAGCTCCTTAATAAGGGGCTGTTCAATTATAAGCCCCTCCCTCACATCTTTCAGGAGTAGCTGGAGGGCAGAGTAGATGGGGGAGGATAGCTGGAGGGAGGAGTAGCTAGGGGAGGAGTAGCTGTAGGGAGGAGTAACTGGGGGAGGAGTAGTTGGGGGAGAAGTAGCTGGAGGGAGGAGTAGCTGGGGGAGGCATAGCTGGAAGGAGGAGTAGCTGGAGGAGGAGTAGCTGCAGGGAGGAGTAGCTAGCTAGAAGAAAACTTGGGCAAATTATTTAGCCTTGTTTAGCTTCAATCTTAGTCTCTATGAAAAGGAAAGGACAGAAGGCTAGCTAGAGGGAGGAGTAGCTGGGGGAGGAGTAGCTGGAAGGAGGAGTAGCTGGAGGAGGAGTAGCTGGAGGAGGGGTAGTTGGGGAGAAGTAGCTGGAGGGAGGAGTAGCTGGAGGCAGAGGTAGCTGGGGGAAGAGTAGTTGGAGGGAGGAGTAGCTGCAGGGAGGAGTAGCTGGAAGAAGGCTAGCTAGAGGGAGGAGTAGCTGGGGGAAGAGTAGCTGCAAGGAGGAGTAGATGGGGAGGAGTAGCTGGAAAAAGGCTAGCTAGAGGGAGGAGTAGCTGGAGGGAAGAGTAGCTGGAGGAGGAGTAGCTGCAGGGAGGAGTACCTGGAGGAAGGCTAGCTAGAGGGAGGAGTAGCTGGAGGGAGGAGTATCTGGGGGAGGAGTAGCTGGGGAGGAGTAGCTATGGGGAAGAGTAGCCAGAGGGAGGATAGCTGGAGGAAAAAGTAGCTGGAGGAAGGCAAGCTAGAGGGAGGAGTAGCTGGGGGAGGAATATTTGGGGGAGGAGTAGCTGGAGGGAGGAGTAGCTGGGAGGAGTAGCTGTGGGGAGGAGTTGCTGGAGGGAAGAGTAGCTAGAGGCAGAGGTAGCTGGGGAAGAGTAGTTGGAGGGAGGCGTAACTGGGGGAGGAGTAGCTGGAAGAAGGCTAGCTAGAGGGAGAAGTAGCTGGAGGAGGAGTAGCTGGGGAGGAGTAGTTGGGGGAGGAGTAGCTGGAGGGAGAAGTAGCTAGAGGTAGGAGTAGCTGCAGAGAGGAGTATCTGGAAGGAGTATCTGGGGAGGAGTAGTTGGAGGGAGGAGTAGCTGGGGGAGGAGTAGCTGGAAAAGGGCTAGCTAGAGGGAGGAGTAGTTGGGGGAAAAGTAGCTGGAGGGAGAAGTAGCTAGAGGCAGGAATAGCTGCAGGGAGGAGTTTCTGGGAGGAGTATCTGGGGGAGGAGTAGTTGGAGGGAGGAGTAGCTGGAGGAAGAGTAACTGGGGAAAAGTAGCTGCAGGGAGGAGTAGCTGGAATGAGAGTAGCTGGAGGGAGGATAGCTAGAAGGAAGAATAGCTGGAGGGAGGAGTAGCTGGGGGAGAAGTAGCTGGGGAAGGAGTAGCTGGGGAGCAGTTCTGCGATGGGTCCACCTCCAGCCACCTCCACCCCCATCCAGACGCTGCGCCTGGAGCCAGGGCTCCTCCCTGCTCTGGCCCTGAAAGATCCGTCAGGAAACGGAGGAAGTATGGACACAGCCCAGGCATTTGCTTAAGTATTTTTAAAAAGCTTTCCAATTCTGCTATTTTTTTCTCTTCACATTCAATATTCTTGGTTGCTAAGTGGGAGGAAATGTGGGGAGGTGGGAGAGGTGTGGAGAACTGAGGGAAAATTGGCAACACGAAAGCTGATGGGTTTATTTTCTCCTTTCTAAAGGGGGTACAGGCAAAGTAATCTGCTCCAGTACGGAAGCAACCAGCCTGGGGTGCACCCCCTGTTAGCTGGGCTTGTGGCAGAGTCTCCCCCAAATCCTGCTGCTTCTGATAGGCCCGGAGTGAGGGGCTTTTAGGAAACATAAATATGGGCATTTTCTATTTCTGCTTAGAGACTTAGAAAAGTCGAATTTTTAAAAAATTAAGATGACTTTTATTTTCAAAACATACCCGCAAAAGAGAAGAAGCCAGTTTCATGATTATCTTTTCACCAAGGGGAAGTGGGAGCACCGGGCACAGGGATGTGTCACAGGCCACGGTTGTGAAGGGTACATGACTGTGACTCTTGCCACCCTGACTCTGCAAGGGGTGGCATGGCTGCCTGCTGGGCATGGAACTGGACAGGGGGCTGGCTTTCCAGGAGGAGCGCCCCCACTTCGAGCTGCCCTGTTCACAGTATCTGTGGTCACCAGTCTGTTAATGTCGGCTCACAAGGACCCAGTCCTTAAGGGGGCTCTGATTTCAAGTTTTTAACTGCGGAAACTTTTGTAAAACAAAACCTCACATGGAACCACACCTGCTGCTTCCCTACCATCCACCCCACCTTTTCTCTCCCTAGGCTGGCAGCCCGCAGACCGGGGCCACCAGCCCATGTGCCCGTCTCCCAGTGGGCAGACTGGGCAAGCCACACCCTTAGTTCATACTTATGATTTACACGTTCTTAGGCTCCTTTTAAGAGCATAATGTGGGCTGCCCATACCTCTTGCTATGAACTTGAAAAATATTCAAGTGAATGAACAGTTGTTTGAATTGAATCATTATTACCTCCCTTTTTATTAAATTACTCTCTTTATAGAGCAGGGCACATTTAGTAATCTAAACATATGCCAGGAAAAACTGCCCAAGACATTGAACATGGGCACAATAGGTTGTTGGGTGTTTTTCAGTGGCAATCTGGGGGTCGATTAGTGGACCAGTCCCACGTCATCTACCCCTGTAGGGTGGAACCATTGGACTGCCCAGGACTAACCCAGACCACTTTTGTCTGGTCAATACATAATCAATTTCCACCATTGGACTGCCCAGGACTAACCAGACCGCATTTTGACTGGTCAATACATAATCAACTTCCACCCTGTAGGAAAGATAACCCCAAACAGTACATTTTACTGTCCTAAAGGACATTGTTTTTGCATTTATTTGCAAATTCATTTCAGTATATCTATTCTTCAAATTCTTCTTTCAATGGGCCTTAACATTTTATTGATTCCCTCATTAGTTAATGAGTCAAATAAAATCTTTAATACGTGCTTATTTTCTACTTGTTTGAGTCACGATTTTAACTTTTTGACAATTGTACTTTATCATGCCAATAGCAATTTCTACTCTCCTTAGTAGGATGTAGCCTGTTGTCTATGCGGGTCTTTTAAAGAGTACTTCGAGAATCTCATCTGGAATATATAACTGACCAGTCCGTCCATAAATTACCAGAAAGATGATAAGACAAAGGAGTTAAAATCTGGTCGAAAGAAATCAGAGAGTCATCAATTGCGAATTGAGCCTAGTGGGCCACCATGACAACAAAGGCAAAAGAGGCCGAAGACCTGGAGGCTTCGCCAGCCCCTGGGAGAAAAATCCCCTTGAAAATGGAGGATGGGAGGCTCCGCCCCTATTATCCGCTATTCATAATGACCTGGAGGTACGCAGGGGTGACAGAGTCAATGCCTGCTACATGCCAGTCAGAGGTGGCACTGACAGGCAGAAACCCATGCAAAAACCACGCAAAACGGGCCCCGCGGGCCTCTTACCTGGGGTTGGTGAGGTTGTAGCAGGATTTCCATATCTGCAGCATGTGCTTGCAAGTGAGGAGCGCCTCGTCCGGGCCCCGGCAGAGGGACTCCAGCCGCACTTTGGAAAACAGGAGTCTGCGGGGGCGGGGGACAAAGGGAGAAAACGACACGGCTTACGTCAGGCGGTGCCCACCGAAACGGAACAGAGTGGCGGGGCTTACGCCCAGAAGAAGCTGCCGGACTCATGCAAGAATGGGGTGTCCACGTGTTTGATCCAAGAGAAGCAGGGGCAGCGGGGCCACGGATTCCAAAATGCCCGGCTCAGCCTCTGGCTTTGCCTGTGTCACCACAAGGCAGGCACGATGCGACCGTTTGTGGTCAGGTGACATGCATCGGAGTGGTAATTTTATTCAGAACACAGGGATTTTATTAAGAGCATGTTTTTTGTTTTTTAAGAACATTTATCTGCAAGACTTCGAAAAATTTGTTAAAAGTAGACCTTGATTTATTTCTAACATTACACAGGTGATGTGACTCCTGTGTAATAAATCTTGATTTATTTACGAAAGCGCACAGTTGATGTAAATATCTACAAATAACCATCCACGATGATCCTCGTCACGTGAAGGTGAATCGATCTCATAGGCTTTGAAAAGCCTGAACTCACGCTGCATGAAGAAGGGGGCATCTGGCCAAGGCCCTGCCCTCTTCGATCTTCCCCCTGGGACTTCTCCAGCTCACTCCGTCACCACCATCTCCTCCTATTTTTATTACCAACAGCGGCTTCACCCTCCATCCAGACCTTTGAGCACTTAGCTTAGACCCTCCTCTCTTTCTTGGCCCCTCAGATTTACCCTATCCCGAAATTCTACTCATGTCTCTCTGTAGCCATCAGCTCTCCTGGTCCTGGTCTCATCACCATGACCTTTTTGAGAGCCCTGGCACGAGCCCAAACACCTTTCTGATGGTCTTCCTGTCCCTTGACTTGCCTGGCTCTAAGAAACTGTGTTAGAAAGATCTCCGAAAATTATTTTCATTTCCAGCTCGAGACACCACAGTGAATCCTTACCGTCTGTTATAACAAATCAAAATTCCTTATCACGTCCTTTAAGACACACCACCCACTGGCCACTCCTGTGTCGCCATCCTGCTCTGTGCCATGCATCCCACCGGATGGACCCTTCCTCTTGCTATACAACTCACTGGCCAAAGGCTATGCTTCCTCATAACCCTATGAATCTACATGCCATGTCCTCAGTCTCGATCTCTACTAATCCATGTCTCTCCTTAATTCTTCCCAAATTCAGCTAGAACCCCACCTCATCAAATAAGTCTTCCATTGATACCACTTTCACACCTTTATAAACTACTCCTGTTTATGAAAGGCCTTCTCGGTCTGGCACTTTGCAAACAATATCGGTGTCATCTTTGTAACCCGCCCTTCTCAGCAGGTGATGTTTACCTCTTGTCAATAAAAGAACCCTAACTTCTGTCCCTGGCCTCACTTGCCCAGGGCCTAGAATTGTGCATGGAGCTTAATGGGCCTTAAGTTGCATTTGCTCACTGACTACTTTCTCTATAAACCACGGAAGATAAAGAAATGTGTTTCTAGTGACTTGTTAGACATAAAAGAGAACTCCTCAACCATACGCAAAGTGACAGCCTCATTTGGGCATCCTAAGCTGTCACCGCCCAAGCTCAGGAATGGGTTAGTGCCAACTGCTCCCTCCAAACAGAACACAGGATGCCCAGGGGGATGCTGGAGGCTCCCAGTGTGGTCAAGGTGGCAGATTCCTCAAGCCTGGGTTTGCAGACGCCTGGGATGATGGGACGATGGCCCAGGTAATCAGTCCCTGATCTGTAAGCAGGCGGGCATAAAGAAGGAGGCCAGCCTTGAGAATGACTCAGCTCCTGCTCAAAAACATCTCAGGAAGTAGAAATATCCAGAGGCCTTTCCGGGACCACCTACAAGGAATGATGGCCACTCAGGGTGTTTGGAAGCTGACTCCTGCTGATACCTTCATGAGCCTGGAAGGTGGTGGGGTTACTTTTCCACCAGAATCTCCCACCAAACTGGGGTCAACTGAGAGATGTGTTACAAAGGAAGACGCTGCCAAAGGGTCACCTGTCAGCTTTTGGTGGAGACCTATCAGGGGCCAGAGGCCCTCGTGGATGAGGGCTGGTTGCCAAGCAATTTTGGCCCGGAGAGACCCCACCTAGGGCCATGGTGATGGTCTCTGGGGGACACACCGAGCTCCTCTGGCTGAGGCAAATGGGCAGAGGTGTGGCTCTAGAAACAACTATCCATGAGTCCTTCAACTGCACCCACAGCACCAGAGCTCGTCTCTAAGCCTCAGCTTGGGGGAACAGTTCTGTGCAAGGCTTCTTGGCTGGAAAAAGAACGTCTAATTAACATGAAATAACGGCTTTCCAACAACATTTGACTCAGGATATGGAGTTGAAAAGGTAAGGTGTGGGCTGAATTTAAGAGAACCAGACAGGAAGAACAATGGTAGAACCGCGGAGTACAAATGATGGAAAAGGCTCCTGGAAGCGAAGCGAGAGGAACAGCATAAAAGAGAGACTGGCAGAGAGAAGGAGCTGGAAAACGCCGGCAGGGAAGAGAACGCTGTCAGGTGTCTCCGATGCAGCAGGCAGACAGCCCTGACGAGCGTAACCCGGACACTCCCTTGACTGCACAAGTAAAAGCAGGAGACGGAGGCACCGTCTCAAAGAGATGGCTCCTTCTCACCATGTCCCCAAGCCTCGGCTTGCTCACGAGGCAGCAAAACAATACCCAAAACAGAACGAGTGGTGCTTGTCATCAGATTTGCCGAACTCTGCTCACACGTTTGGAGGCTATTGGAACACATCGGGCTGGGAGTGTGTTCCGTTAGCACAGAAACGAGTACACAAACAATGATTCGCATTAATTTGCGGCGGTTGATGTCCAAAGATATTATAGATTCAATCTACCGAGGAAACCCTGAGGCAAAAAAAGAAAAAGTTATGGAAAAATTGAGGACAAACCAGCATTGACTGCATTTTAATATGTGCAACCGTCAACCTGCTAGAGAGGGCAGAGAGACCGCCGGGCTGAGACCTCTTGCTGGCCACATCACCCAAGTCCAACCAGGGATTAAGTAAAATGCTTCTCTAAGCATCATAAGACGTCCCCTGCTGGGAAAAGGGTCTATTCCTGTCCCCTTTCTCTGGCTCAGAGTTCAAGAACCTAATTTAAAAACTTTCTGTTTAGAGACTCTTTGAAAACTTACAGGAAGTTAATGAAGAACAGAAGAACCTTGCTAAAATACCAATCTGATTAGGTTACTGACAGCCCAAATCTAGCATCTCACACAATGCCTTTTATGATCTGGCTCCTCGCAAATATGCTCAACTTTGATCTGCCCACTGCCCATCATGCACATTCCCTATTCTAGCCATGATCAACTGCTTCCATATAGCACCCTTCCACATGCCCCTGGGCCTTTGCACATGCTATTCCT